GGTTAAGCTGGAAACAGAAAGCAAGCCCTGGGGGGAGCAAGCCCTGGGGGGAGGCTGGCCTGAAAGGGAACAGGAAGCCCATGCTGGCAATGGTGGTTTCAGGAAAAGAGGAGCTGAGACCCAGGCTGGAGTGTGTGACCAGGAGGGAGACAGAAGGAGCAGCTTAGCGACAGAGGGCAGTAAAGTGGAAAGGGGTCCAGTAGCCTGAGGGAAGTTAGAGCAGGGAATGGCCAGGAGAGCCCACTGTAGCAGACATGGTAGGGGTGGGCCCACTGTCTTTTAGGGGGACCAAGACCACCCACCAGTCCCTGGGCAGCAATGTGAAGGTTTAAACCCAGACCCACCCTCTGAGCAATTAGTTGCTCAGAAGTAGGAACAGCCGTTGCCCCTAGATTAACCCTGATCCTCATCTACCTGAGGATTAAAAAGGGAGGGGAAAGAACAGAGCTGGGGGGAAGGAGAGGTAAGAGCCGGAAGGTGACCTCTGTACAGAGGCGAGAGGAGGAAATGTGTGGGGATCCAGGCTCATTTGGACCCAGGGATGGAGAAGAGGGGAGAGGGCAAGAGGAAGCCAAGTCACAGGGGTGGAGTCTGAAGAAAGAGTTAAGTACCCACTAGATGTGAGCAGAGCTGCTCTAGGCATTTAACATACACAACTCAACTCCCCCCAGCTGCCTTTCCTGGGAGGGATGTACTTCAACCCACAGATGAAGGAACTCCTCTGCAGGGAAAGAGGGGGCACCTCTAGGTCAGGCTCATCCAGACAATGTCCCTGGCACTCGACAGCCACCACAGAAAGGTAGCAGGGCCAGAGTGAAGCCTGGGGCATCGTTTGCATCCTTAGAGGCAACTCTGGTGCAGCCCATGGGTCACTTAGAACTGGCCCGTCAGCACCACGGACAGGGCCCCTCTCCTTCCGCCTCCTGCCCCACCTCTCAGGCCCCGGCTTTTTTGGCAAGCACCAGGCACTGCAGCAGCGGCCAGTGCCAAATTTTGACCTCTACACACACACACACACACACACCACTAGTGGCCTTGTTTGTGTCATCTCTCTCCTTTCCCTCTTGCACGGAGCTGGGGCTGGATCCCTGGATTCTGGGAGGTGGTGAGGGGTGAGCCCAGCATGAGGAACAAGGCACCCCAGTTAGCTGCTGGTTGGAAATGGGGTCTGAAGGGTGTAGGGTGGGAGGAGGTAGGGGAGAAATCAGCATTCAGAACCTATGATACAGGAGGCTGGGAAGCCCCGGAGCTGCTTTGAGGATCCTGTTTGATCCCCACTCCTCCTGCTGGCTCTGACCTTTAAGGACAGGACACGGATAAATTTATCCCTGGGTGTTGAGTTGCAGCTATTACAGTTAACTTGCTCAGGCCCAGGTGAAGGGCTTGGGGACCCCTAGAGGAGTCCCCTAGAAGATCTCAGGGGTCACACCTACACACAAGCTGCTGGAGCCTGGGCAAAGGGGGTCTCATGGCACTTACTGGTCATCAATGATGTGCTTGCAGGAGGTGGAGACGATGTAGCCAGCTGTGGAGGCCATGACGGCTTGGACAGAGGACACTAGCCTAGGGAGGAAGAGGGAGCAGTGGTAGAGGGAGTACACATAACCCTTGGTTTCTCCTCTTTACTGTCCAGTTACCATGCTTTGTACTTGGTTACTTCTCAGGTCAACCCCTGCCCATCTTTTCCCAAGGCTGCCTTACCCAGGGCTCACGCCCACCACCTCAGGCTCCTGCACTTGCCCAGCTGCCACTCATCAGTCCACCCCATTCCTGGCTGCCAGCTTCCTTCCCTCAGTTGTGGACACTGAGTTGTCTCCCTCCCAGGACACCAGGGAGGTCATCCTGAGGTGAGGCAATGCTGAGAATGTGTGGCTGATAACAGCGCCCCTCCTGGGGAGGGCCAGGGTGGGGACAGCAGAGGATGGCAAGGGGAAGCCCTGGACCTGTTCTTGCACCACTCAGCTGCCCAGTCATCATACCGGTCGCCAACTAGTCCCTCCGTGACTCCAGATTCCCCTTGGCCACTTCCCCACTGTGTCCTTAACTGCTGCCATTCTCCACTCCCCAACCCTGGCCCTCATTCCACAGTTGTATGGAGTTCTACCTTTCACTCCTCTGTCCCTTGTCCCCCCAAACACATGCTCTGAATAATGCACAGCGCTCTGCCCCTTGCCTCCTTCCCTAATATCTTGTAGGAATGTTTTAGTCACATGCTGATCCTGTTTTGGAGGGTGGGAGGGTGAATGGGGAAAGGAAAGAAAAGCAGTTGAATGTGAGTAGACCAGATGGCTGGGTTTGGACGAGGTCTCCTGGGACAGAGTAAGGCAGTGAGGAGGGAAGGAAGCTTGGAGGTAAAGCCCACTGACCCCCTGAGGAGCCCCCAGATCCCCCCGGGCCAAGGGTCCGAGGAAGGCCTGGGTCCCATTCATCCCCATAAAGCCTGAGGGGGAGAGGGACCGAGGGGAAGGGGTGCGGTTTACCTGGCTGAGACAATGACTGCATCGGCCTCCTCCCAGCGCAGCTGGGGCAGCCGCTGGAGCGTGTTCTTGGAGAGGAGGAAGAGTCCGGGGAACACCACCCCCCCAGCCACCATTGGGGTCAGCATGGTGGCTCAGGCCTCGGGAGGGAGAAGAGCAGCCAGGGAGGGACCGGGAGACTGAGATGCAGGGAGTTAGAGGTGGAGAAAAGATGCAAAACCAGAGGAGAGAGAGAAAGAGACAGGGGCACAAAGCGGACAGGGCAGGAAGGGCTGGGGCAGGGGAGCCAGACCCGAGGCGGGGAAAGGAGTTAGATTAGATGGGGAAAGGGGGGAGACCAGGGAGAGGGAGCATCCGGGAAAGGGAGCCGGAGAAAGCCAGCCAGAAGGAGGGAGAGAGATGAGGTGGGGAGGACTTGGTGAGAGGACAGGGAGGGAGAGGGTGCAGGAGGAGGAGGAAGATGCGGGTGGGGGAGGG